CGTTTTTTTCGTGCCAAAAACGGCATACTATACTATGTCGTTTTTTTCGTCCTCAAAACGCCTTACTATACTATGTCGTTTTTTTCGTGCCAAAAACGCCTTACAATACTATGTCGTTTTTTTCGTCCTCAAAACGCCTAACTATACTGTGTCGTTTTTTTCGTGCCAAAAACGCCTTACTATACTATGTCGTTTTTTTCGTGCTAAAAACGCCTTACCATACATGGTCGTTTTTTCGTCTAAAAACGCCTTTGTATACATGGTCGTTTTTTCGTCTAAAAACGCCTTTGTATACATGGTCGTTTTTTCGTCTAAAAACGCCTTTGTATACATGGTCGTTTTTTCGTCTAAAAACGCCTTACTTACTTATGGTCGTTTTTGTCATCTAAAAACATCTTACTATACATGGTCGTTTTTTTCGTCTAAAAACGCCTTTGTATACATGGTCGTTTTTTTCGTCTAAAAACGCCTTACCATACATTTTCGGTTTTTTTCAGTTAACCTACAAAAGTGTCAGATCATTTTGCCTGACCCTGTCCTTTTTTTTTTTACCGTTATACCTAAATTTGACTACAGTACATAGTGTGAGTACTCATGCCACTTCTCGTTCAATGCCTCAGAGACCTTTTTTTTTTAAATCAGCTTGGAGGTTGGTGCCAAGCTGTCTGTGAAGTGTCTCTGCAGCAACCAGTTTGATGAGATTTTAGAAACCAACTAACGCAGTCGTTATCACATGCATCAGTTCAGCAATCGGTCGAGTCTGATACACTCCATTCGACGCTTTTAGAAAGTACATCTCCCTGCTAAATAACTGGACTTAAAAGCATATGCTTGTTCACCCTCGTGAGTCATACGCTTTGAGGATTGGATTAAGAATACCGATTAGATATGACTCATAGACTACAAGGTCAAACTACGGCAGAGGCGGGGAACCTTTTTCCTTTCAGCAGCCTGTTGAGTTTTTAAAAGCGCTCCAAGGGCGATACGACTACAATTATGAAGAGAAAAAAAAAAACACTGAAACGAGGCCCAGACAGACATTCCTCTGCTGGCATGGGCAAATCACTTTATTTGAATTTTCACAGTAAGATGCGCACAAACAACATGATCGCAGAGAATGTCTTTCGTTAATTTAATGTCTCAAGAGGAGCTAATGGGCGGCTCGCTAAATCCCCCCCCGTGTTGACGCGAGCTAAGGAACAGCGATTGAGGAGCTCAAGCCTATTTCCAGAAGCGCGACACGGCTTATCATGACTCACACACAAAACAACTTCCCTCACACACTCCTGTGCTTCTTCATCGACGTATTGTTAGGTACACTTGCACTAGATCCGATGCTAGAACCATATTAACATTTTTTTTAATCATATTTTAATACTTCCTGTATTCGTTAAGTAAAATCAAATGACATACCTTAAAAAAAATGGATTGCACATCACGTGCGGTATGCGGATAACATCGACAAGGGTTACAATAGAAACGAAACAGACGTATCGCGTTAATTTAGGTGTCGGGCAAAGACGTCACACGTCCATCTGCCGGTCGTTGGCGCGGGGAGGCGGCAAAGTCAAGGGAGCGTTGGGGAAGCGGATGGCCTCGCTGTTGCGCCTCATGTAGGCGTGGCCGCTGATCGGGTAGCACATCTCCGTGAAGGTCAAGGCGCCCACCGTGACGGCGCAGCGGCCCAGCACCTTGAAGCCCATCTTGCGGTAGAAAGGGACCAGGAAGTCCTCGCACATGAGCACGGCCCGCCGCACGTTGGGCAGGCAGCGCAGGTACTGGAGATAGCGCCACATCAGGATGGGACCTTTGCCCTGCTGCCGAAAGGTGCGATGGACCGCCAGCACGTGGATGTGCGCGTTGGAGCCGCGCGGCTTGTGGAGCGTCAGGGCCTCCTGAGGAACACAGACTCGCTTAAAAAAGGCGACGCGCCTCGGTTCAAATGTCTGCTTTTTGTTTACGACAAAACAGGACCATTTCAAAACTTTTGTCACACAACCCCCATTCTTCGACATTCCCCCAAAGAGGACTTACAGTGGCGAGCCGGTCGCGGTCCCACAGTGAACCGATGATGAAAGCCACGAGTCGGCCCTCCTCGAACCAGCCCATGGAAAATTCCGGACACAGAGTGAGGAAGTGACGCACCTCATCCAGGTGCAGTGGACACTCGCCTGACACGGAGATGAACGCTAGTGTGGCACACACACACACACACACGCACACGCGCGCGCACACACACACACACACAGATTTTTACGAGAGTTCATTGTAAGTCTTTACGATGCTTGTCATTGTATGCGCTGGTCCTTATTATCATTTGATATCTTTTTACAACTAGGTAGGGGCAAACCTACAAAGGGATCGTAAACAGTTTATAAATCAGGAATCAGGAATAAAGTTTACTCAAGGACAGAACAGTACACTTATGAATGCAAACAAATAGCCATTTTGGGGGCAAGTAACCATATTTAGTGACTTTTGAGTCCAAATATAGCCAACCAATACAAATATTCTGATATATGGTTATTAGAAGACAGTGATGTCAAACTTTTTTTTTTAATTCTGCAGTTTTTGTGATGTCCTCACAGGCCAGATCGGACCCCCCTGACAGTCCGGTCCTGTCTGCAGGCCGTATGTTTGAAAGCCTTCCGAGAAGCCCGATTTACAATGAGATCTATCATGATTTAAATCGTGGATAATACAATCAAATCAATGAGCTGCAATCATTTTCCGGGGTAAAAAGTTGACCTTTTTAGGTCATTCTATGAGTGGCGTCGAGAAGATTTCAAAGTGGAACGTTTTTTTTGAATGTTTAATTTACCACGATTCCTTTTGAAAATAAAATCAATATATTTCACAAAAGAAAGATCTAATATTGAACAACCAGTTCTAAACAGCTAGTTGACTCGTAGAAATCCCAGTTAGAAGCGCACAATCTCTTCTAAGGGCAGCGAGAGCAGTCACACATCCAAGTCCACCCAAAATGGGGAATGACTTCTTTTTTTTTTCAAGCCAATCAATAGAAAGACAAGTTAGACGGACACAAAGGAGACGTCTTACCTTCTCGCTCAATCTCGAACACACTGACGGCATCCTGCGCGTTGAGAGGTCTGACTTCGCTGGCGGGGAGCGTGTGCCTCCTTTGGATGCCGGGCGACACCGAGGGCAACGCTTGCGTCGCTTCGCCGGAGGGCTGAGCGATCAGCGAGGACATCGCACACTTGAACACCCGCCGGCCGCGCCCGCTCCAAAAGGGCCTTCGACAGGAGTCGCTTGGACGGAGCAGACGCGCGTTTGAGTTTTTAAAGGACGCCCGTGAGTCACGCTGTCTCATTTGCATTTGAATATTGCCACGCCGGGTCGAAGGCCTCTCAGCTGCTCGCGGCCTTCCGCTGAAGCCCGTCATTTTTTTTTTTTTTTTTTGTACTCGCACGGATGCAATTTGGGTTTTGTCTCTGCGAGGCATATAATCATCAATCTCCTCCTCCGGCGTATTCATTAACATCCACTCACTGGAGAACCGACATGAGCAACTAAAAGCAGCTGTTTATGGTTTGGAATTTGATTCACGGGAGGGAGCACACGATGGACGACATCATTTTACTCTCAGGGAGAGGAAACATTAAAACAACAGACAGACAGTAGCCAATCAAAATACGACCTCCCCGGTGGAGGTCATCAATGAGAGATGCGGTCACTTACTTGTATGGTTTGTTTTGGATCTTCAGGCGGAGCAGTTTCTCCTTGTCTGACTGCCTGCTGGGCACTCGACCGGCACGCACGCGCGTCCCTCATCAGCATGGAGAGATTATGACTATGAGTCACATCATGGAGGATTACAGAAGTTGTTTTCGATCGATTAACAGAGACGTTATCTCCCGGCTCAACTCACAGCACCTCGACGATAAACGCGGCTGATGTCGACACGTCTTGAAGTCTGTAAGCTCGATAGAAACTCAGTCAGAACCAAGCGTGGCGGTCATTTCAATTTCCTTTTGGAGCGGCAGAGACAAACTACACCGACATCTCTCCAAACTATCATTACTTGGATGTTTTATTAAAATACATCTTCACAAAATGATGCGTATATGAACAGTATCGCTGGCATAAATGTATTTGAAGGGAGTGGAACAAGGCACAAAAAGGTCGAGCGCAAGCTAATTGCAATCAGAAGGAGATGGACTGCGTTCAATCGCTACTTTTCGACGCAAGCAAAGCGTTCCTGTGCAGGGCTGGATGACGACTCTTCATCCAAAATAACTTATGTACTTCAAATGCATCTACTGGGATTTAGGGATGAGATGAACGCTGTTTGGGCTTAATGATGCTCTGCAGGACCAATAAGGCAACACTTGTTGGCAAAAGAGCATGTTGGGATTCCAACCGCTGGTGTCTTGATGCGACGCGCTAAGACGCGCGCGATCGGAAAAGGCCTTTTAGACGCAAGAAGCTGACAGAGTTCCTTCTTGAAGCCGACGGTTTCAAGTGAAGGCGTGTCGCCGTTTTTTTTTTATTCCTGCTGGGGGGTGGCGGGCTCGTTGGCGTTGTTGTCCGTGACCTTGTTCTCCGGCTCGTCGTCAGACAGGAGGTCCAAAGACGAGCCCTCAACTGGCAACTGACGTCGGCCCGAGCGACTGGAGGAAAAACTGATGGGGCCACCGCGCCTAGAGCAGCAACGCGAGCACCGTTTCAGTCAAATGTAACCCAAACCATGCCAGGATTGCAAATTTCATTGTGTGTATGTCGCGAGAGTACCGGAGGCGGTTCTTCAGCGTGTGGACCTCGCGGCTGAGACCCTCGCTGGCCTCGGTGGCGTCATCCAGCTCGCTCTGCAGCTTCCTTCGCGACGCGTTGGCCCTCGTGGCCTCCTCTTCTGCCTCCTCCAGCTGACGCTTCAGCTGCTTCATACGAGAGTTTGCCTTTTCCACCTTCACACACAAAACCACAAACAAAATATCAGCAAGACGTGCCCAAAAAAAAAAAAAAAA